TCCTGACAATTTAAATAATATTTATATAATATTTAAATAAATAGAAATCAGAAACAGAAATCAGTAATGCTAGTACATTTTAATTGACAGTTTCTAAATTAATAATAAAATTTACCATATCTATAATATTCATTTATATTAACCAAGGACATCAACAAGAAAGATCAACAACTTGCCGAGAATTTCGTCGAAGATTTTGTACAGTCCAGGAACATAAGTGATCTCCCTCTGGTTCATCCCAATGTCTTCATCATAAACCCACATCAGCTGAAAATTACAATAATGTCAATTTTACATTTTTATACATTTAGCAGGCGCTTTTGTCCAAAGTGTCTTACAAGAGGAGGATTCAAAAAAATCAATCAAGCACGTGGTTCCTCTGGGAATCAAACCCAGGGCTCTCTGCTACCGAGGCAGGCGTGCTAACCGCTAGACTAGATGGAACCATCAGTGCCGAGGAGAGAATGCATTGTGATAAGTTGTATTTACTGAAAACATATTAGGGGAGCACTGGGCCTGTCAAGGAGTGAGGAAACCTTTAAGCTCACGGGCTAAAAAGACATTCAAAATTTGTCTGGTGAGTGGTTGGATGTAGAATGCTAAATATATCTATATCTATATATATATATATATATTACATATATCTATATATATATATACACATATATATATACATATATACACACATATATACATATATATATATATATACACACATATACATACATATACACACACATACATATTGGTATGCCAAGGTCTGGTCTAGACTCTACAACTGAGACTCATTTCCTACATACAATCGGAGGTTGAATCTTGCTGTATTTTTATGTATTTATGTATGTTGAAACTTTATATTACCAAATTTATTTCAATGGTTCAAATGACCTTAATCATTTAATCAAGTAAATCCTTACTTTTTCTTAAAAAACACAAACTTAAAATGTTTCTTCCAATTTTATGTAATGTCACGTCACAGTTAGTACTTGTGAAGTTCGCTGGGGACTTACCTGGGTGACCGGCTCCACTGATCCAATGTAGGTGTCTGGACGGAGGAGAATGTGCTCCAGCTGGGTCTTTTTCTGATACACTCGCTCCACAGAGAGCTTGGAGCCTGCTTTGTTCTTGGGCACATTCATTTTGCCGGCGTCACCTTTGCCATTGGCCGCCTCCTAAATGACAGATGTTGTTGTTTATTATCATTCAATGTGAATCCCGCTGAAAACACTGAGACTAAGAAGCAGGGACAGCAAATTATAATCTAGTCAAATACATCTAATGGAACTGAAATTTTAATTTAAGTGATGTTAAGGGTTGAAAAAAAAATTGCTGATGTTCATGTAGAGATCACGTGTGTGGGCTTGGAGTCATATTGCTTAGTGCTAGAATTGTCCCCACAAATTCAAATACTATCAAGAACATGATAACATGTATATTTTTATCTGTACAAACCAGTGTATGAGATGCTGCCACCTAGTGACTGGAGGCTTGTTATCATTCAAGCATTACAGCAGTGGTACACCTATGTCCAGCGTGCCCTATTCCTTTGGAAGCCCCTTATGACCCCCCCTGGCAACTCACCGCGCCCCCCGGGGGGGCTGGCAACTCACTGCGCCCCCCAGGGGGGACCCGCCCCACTATTTGAGAACCACTGCTCTAAGGGGGTTAGGGGTGAAAGAAAAACCGGTTATGGGTGGGACTTTCGCCACATCCAAATGGTCTAAATTAGCACAAGAAAGCACAACATATGTACACACAGTGATTTTATCATGTATTTGCAGTTCCTACAAAGTACCGATTTAAGTGGAAACGCATATCAAATGTACTGTTTGGTACAAGCAAAGCATCACTACAGCACCTGTGGCTACTATATAAAGAATATAGAAAAAAATAACTATTTCAAGAAAATACTGTATTGTTTATGAAAACGGCGTTAAAATTGATATAACGAATATTTACTGCTTAATGGAGGGTTTTTAGTGCGTGTTTTAAGTGCGTGAAGTTATAAATGTGTTCTTAAAGATTACAGTAAATGCTCTCAATATGTTTTATTGTGTCAAAGACGGAAACTAGTTAAACCTTAGCAGTATCCTTAACCCAATGAAGTAAGATACCTCATTTAAATTATACATTTTCCAAGTTTACACAATTAACACGCGACTTATTTAGAGCAGTATTACAGTCACGGCTGCTGCTTTGCTCCAAATATTATATCCCAAACAGCGAATCTAAACCGGCCATAGTTCACCTGGAGATATTGACGACTGCTCTTTCTCACGGGACAGTGAAACGAGATGGGGGTTTAAATTCAAGCTAAGTCCTAGGACAAACCCAGAACGACGTGCTTGGAAAAAAGCGCCTTTTTTAAAACCACTTTCATCATAACATTATGAACAATTGCAGCAAGTCCTGTTAAAGTAACTTACCAACCAGGGCAGACATCCACTCTGTGCTTCGCCGTTAGACATCTTTCTTTGTGGTCCTAATTTGTGTGCTCGCCTCAGAAAACGTATTATATTCCAAACAACTCAATTGTCCGTCGGCATAACAAACTTCTCGGTTGCTAAAGTGTTACACTCATGTGCTTTTCTCACATGTTCTTCGCTTTGCGTTAAATGCAATTCTTGTTTCATAAACCAAAACAAGCTAAAGAGTGCAGTCGGGCTATTGTTAAAATCGACCAGCGGAAGGCCTAAACTTCCCAACAAAGATGCTAACACTGTACCTACTTACAAATAAATACTGTACAAAAGGCGCGTATCGTGGCTATACAAACTCGCGCAACGATTCAAGAATAAAAACAAACGTTTAACATTGATGTGCTAAAAGCGCCAACATTAAGTTACTTTTCATTTAACATTAAATTAATATAAGCTAACGGCAACATCCACGGCCCAGTTCCGCCATCTGCAAAACAGACAGCGAATAGTCTGGGAGAAGAACTAACCAATCGCCAGGCGGCTTTAGAAGACACCGGCATTTTGACGAATGTTGAATGAATCTGTAATAACCCTTTCAAACACACGGTGGAGACAAATACCTACTTTGTTGTCATTGTTAGGCGGCTGCACCATGGATAGTGTCGTGTAATGTTGGCTCGAGTGTTTTTTTTTTTTTAAATCTAGAAAAACTAAAACTACCATGCACTCGAGTGTTTTTTTTAAAAATCTAGAAAAACTAAAACTACCATGCTGCGAAAAATCTCTTTTATTCCACCCGACGAATTGTTTGAATCAACTTCTACAACACACATACCAACATTACTGTCAGCCTTGATCCAGGCCAATTTTACCCAGCTTATCCAAAGATTTCCTTAAGACATTACAATATTCACATATTCTTAATTAATGATAGAACTAAAGCATCCTGAATTGATTAAATCACCAGTTACAGACACTTCGTACGTCTGGTACTTGAGGTAAAACTTGAGGTAAAACGAAGCTTTACAGTTATAACTAGAGATGTCCAATACCATCATCTGACCCATATTATCGGCCCGATATCTTCATAATTATTTAACATTGGTAGGAATCGTTATTGGTTTTTCCTCCAAGACCCCATGACGCAATCCCTGGGTTTTGCCAGATATGCTGGAATCTCTTAAGAATATATATTTTGCACAGACAATGGTGATTTGTGGAATGCCTTTAGTGATTACTATAAAAGTACTGTGTTTTCCAAACTATAAATCCCTCCACCCAAAAAATGCATAATGAAAAAGAAAAAAAACCACATGTTGCCAGTGCCATCCAGCGGCTGTCAGTGTGAAAATAACGAACATGTAAATTTTTAGTGGTATAGGAGTAGCAGATTCTGGTTCACAAGCCTCATGTGCCCTCTAGAGGCTGAAAATAACGAACATGTAAATTATATATTTTAATACATATCGCACCTGAGTATAAGTCACAAACCCAGCCAAAGGATGAAAAAAAAAGTGCGACTTATAGTCCAGAAAATACGGTAGGCAATGTGTTAGTTCCACAGCAGGAGAGATGTGAAGTGACCTAGAATAGTGTTAGGGAAAAACGGCTGCAAGTATCGGTATAGGTTGATGTCAGAATTGGAAATTAGTTGTTTGGACAATGTCGGCATATAGGATATCAGCAAAAAGCTAATATTGGACATCCCTAGTTATAACATAATTGTTTTGGTGAATGGAGTAGTCAGGTATAGAGCCTTTTGAAAACAAAAAGAAAATCATCGGTTATAATCAAGTGAAGTCAATTAGTATAATATGGTCATACGGAAAGTTGCAAAGACCTAAAGGTTGTTTTTTTTAAGTTAATGACATTCTGACCTGCAGTCAGTACTAGAGATCCATTTGCCAAACCTGTTTTTTTTCACCAAGGTCTGTACAGAATGGGCCTATATTTAACATTTTTAATAGGTTTTTTTAGTATGAGGAATATTTGTCTACTTCTGTCTGATCTTATAGTTTTGTTTCTTTAGAATAATTTTCTTTGCATTGCACTGGAGTCAACGAAAGGATGTATAACTTTTGTGTACAGTCAAATTGTGTTTTAAGATCTATCTTAAAGTGCAAAAGCAGCTGCTTCTTTAGGCAGTCTGTGGCGTATACTCAGGAAAGGAATTATTTCTAAAATTGGGTTTCAGTAAAACGTACGGAAAGATGTGAGCATCACCTTTGCCACTGTATACGATGTAAGTTTTGACATGGGCTTCAGTTGAAAATTGCCCAGGCAGCTGCATCCCTTTTTCTACACGACAGCAGTCAGGCATCTTCGAAGTGGACGAGGACTTCGAATGAAGTGTTCTCTGTGTCTTTCAAGCTTTGCCTAAACAGCTGCGAGTGCTGCCATGATGCGCCATCATCTCCACCACCACCAAGTTCTGCTACCACCAAAAACTCTGAAGAGCCAGACAGATGGTGAAATGACTGCATCTTCCCATCTAATTGGTCAAACATAGGAGGAAAAATTAAAATTCAAAGGGAAACACGTCATTTGAGTACATTTAGCACCATTTTTGGGGAATGCACAAAAAAAACACGTCGTACCTCCGGAAAATTCCGTGGGGCAGTTGCTTGACTGCAGGTACCAGCGAACCTTTCCCTCGTGGAATGTATGACTACAGGCCATAATAGAAACCGACTTTATCTTCATCCTTACTGTGGCCAAATCAAACTTCCAACTTATTTGTCCCGTAGATGATTCTTCTGTGTGAGCTATGTACACCTTAACAGAGAAACAGGTCGGTCAAATTACACAGTATATATATATACATAGTATAATACACAGGTAGTAGATGAGATAATATATGTAGTATTTACACCGTGTGTCAAACTCAAGGCCCGTGGGCCAAATGTGGCCCGCAACAGTCATTTTGTATGGCCCACGGGAGCTTAAAAAGTGTTTAATATAACAAAGTCCAAGTTGCTGCGATTCTTAACTTGATATTTTTTATTTCACAGAGCAATTTATATTTATTTTTGTATCTTGAATTAATAATAACCAATTGCAAAAAACATGTATTAATACCTTATGAAGTAGTTACAGCTATGCAGTCTTACAGTTACAACCGGTCCTTACAAGAGGGACTGTATTGCTGATGTGGCCCCCTGGTGAAAATGGGGGTTGCCACCCCTGATTTACACAATTAAAAGTATTGCGTTGATTGATTTGAAAGATGTCGAAAGATTGAAATACAGTGGATACCAGCGTAATTCGTTCCAGGACCGAGCTCGTAACTCGAGGTGCTCATATCTCAAATCATTTTTTTCCCCAAAAGTAATAACAGAAAAGAAATTAACCTTAAGTCAACGAACAAGTGAGGTGAATGAGTGAAGCGGCGCGGGCTGTTCCGAGTGCTCGGCCACCTAGCATCGGTGCTCGTATTTCAAATCTTTACCCGTATGTCAAAGCAAAGGCTTTGCTCGTATCTCAGAATACTTGTATGTTGGGACGCTGGTATCTCGAGTATTGGGTATGGACGTATTGGGACAGTCATGCTTATGGAAGGCCCCGTGTCAAAGGCTTACCCTCCAAATCGACAACGAATAAAGCAGTTGGCAAATGATAAATTCTGCATAACCTAGTTCACTGATTCTTACTGAAAGGTTCAGAATGTGAAGTCCTATAATATCAAAGATATGTTATTGATCATACCATTTGCCAGTCATTTTCCACCTTTCGGAAAACAGAATCCTTCTGCCACACGCACTGGTCCCAGCCCTGTACGGTCTCAGAGCTGTTGGATTGTCGACAATACTGGTCTTTGGTGGAATTGTAGCGAACGTGCAGTATCCTGTCAGTCACCTCCTTCTCAGTGGGAGTAAACACAAAACCTGCAATCTTTAAAAGAAAAAAAACACATAAACACAACGACGAGTGAAACGCTGAGCTAAGTCGCACATCAAGCAAAACCAAATATCCTGAGGTGGAAAGTAACAAATGACTTCAGTCCTGTAATTGAGTTGTTTCTGTGAGTAACTTGGAAATTAAGTATTAGGGGATTAGGTCATTTCACTTTTACCTAAGTACATTTTGATTTAAGTATTTTACTTTGCTAAATTGGGAGAACAACCCATCACTGACTCAAAAATTAAATGCGGTGAAAAACGATCAGCGTTAAATGAAGGAAATTTACATGGGCGTGCGCACGGATTTCCCACTATTATAATGTAGCCAGAGAACGCTGAGTAAGAGACGAGCTCTAGTCTGTCGTTTTTGATGATGGCTGGTGCCGAACAAGAAATGGAGAGAACGAAATCCTTGGCCATATCTCAAGTAATTTAAAGTAACTGAGTAACTTTTTACTCAAAGTAAATTTTAAATTAGGTACTTTTTTTTACTTTTACTCCCTGAGATTTTTAGATGGGTATTTTTACTTTTACTTACTGAGTTGAATTTAAGCAAAGTAACAATTAGGGATGTCGTTATTAATATTGGCCGACCAAAATAATCTGCCCGAAATTAGCATAATTACTGTAACCACCAAGCCACCACTGCCCGGCTATATCGGTATCGGCTGATATCGGAATCGGAAATTAAGTGTTTGGACAATATTGGCATATTAGATATCAGAAAAAAGTTACAAGATACCTTTACTTAATTACATTTTTTAGTACTTTTTCCACCGCTGCTGCAAATATCCCAGTGCGGAACAATCAAATAAAACATGAAGACATGAGGTCAAATTTAGATAAGAAGTTAAAACAAATGCAAAGTTATAATGCTTAAGTAAAGCTCAGTGATGTGTACATTTTACATGTCGTACTTTACCTTGGTAGAGGACCCGGGATGAGCCACTTTTGTCTCGCTCCTCGCCATTCTCCAAGCTAGAGAGCCAGAGTTGCGTCCCCCCAATTCTCCTGGTTTTGGCTTCTTTGGAGATATGAACTCTACTAGCTCGACAAGCAGTCTCTCAGTTAACTGTTTCTTCCTGTCTAGACTCAGCACCTGCTGTCTCTACAATACGGAGGAAGATGAACGTTTTTTTGTTTTTTTTTTTTACTGCAGAGTCTGGGCAACTGGCGTGTTGACATGATAAAGGAATCAAAACTTACTGCAGCATTAAGGTCACTGATGGTTTGACGTAGCCAGGTCTCTTGAACACTAGTTCTTCTTGACAAAATCACCTGGTGCTTGCAGGAATATCGCCAGGTCACATCCACCACCTTTAGTAATGAGAAAAAAAGAAAATACAATTTTGTTATTTTCAAAATTCATCAAGTGGGCCAGAATGTATGAGAGACTCTCATACGTCTTACTAGGCCGAAAGACCAGTCTTCCAGAGGATAAAGTACTGATCAGTAAAACCAAAGTTTACATTTGTTTTTTTAGATTACAGTACAATCTCACAGGTTCCGGACTATAAGTCTAATTTTTTTTTTTTCATGCCCTGGCTGAGTTTGCGACCTAAACTCAATTTTCACATGTCTGTTTTTCACACTGACAGCCGTTAGAGGGCACTCTAGGCTTGTGTAGCTGTATCTGCAACTCCTGTACCACTGATAGCCACTAGAGGGCAATAAAGCTGGCGACTTATACTGCGGAAAATATGGTAATCGGCTAGTTTTAGAATAAGAAGAATTAGACTAAGACGGAGGACACACTTGCAAGGTTGCTTGATAATGTTGTTTGATGACTAATTCGTTATCTTACTAAAAAGCCTATTAAAATATTGATCATATTCACACAAAAACACTAGAGGCAAACTATAGCAGACAACACAAATACAGTGAAGTCATTCTTTGTTCTGAAAAACAAGACAACAATTTGTCTTTAAGTGATGGCTGAAGACTCGGCTTTCGTTTAAAGTACAAAGTCTGTTATTTGATATTATAATTTGAAGGATCTCTATGGAAGACTTTGTACAATCAGAACAGTAAGAGAAAACGAAATATTAATTTGTGGTGGTAGCTCTACTCTTCTGGAAAGAAAATATGGAAGAACAACTTGATATTTTACAAAAGGAATGTATAATATTTATACCGCTTTTCGTGTGATTGGCACATTTTTAGGATATAAATTATAGCCCATTTGAAATAAGTAAACAATGACTAGCGTTGTCTGCTGTCAAGGTAACCTGACGTGCCTGGCACCGGCCCCCGCCGATGTACATGATTTAAAATGCTGTAAGAGCCGACAGCCTCGAAACTGTCAAGTGTGTAATTAATTTTGGTGCAAATCAATTGGGTCAAACCTGACAGACAGTGTGAAAACTATGAGCATGTTCATTTTCAGCGGTACAGGAGTAGCAGATACGAGTCCACAAGCCTAGAGTGCCCTCTAGCAGCTGTCAGTGTGAAAATACCAAACATAAATTTTCATAGGTAGCAGTTTTGGGTCCTCAAACCTAGAGTGCCCTCTAGCAGCTGTCAGTGTGAAAATAACAAACATAAATTTTCATAGGTAGCAGATACTAGTACCAAAGCCTAGAGTGCCCTCTAGCAGCTGTCAGTGTGAAAATACCAAACATACATTTTCATAGGTAGCAGAAACTAGTACCCAAGCCTAGAGTGCCCTCTAGCGGCTGGCAGTGTGAAAATAAAAAAAATAAATTTTCATAGGTAGTAGATACTAGTACACAAACCCAGAGCGCCCTCTAGCGGCTGCCAGTGTGAAATGTGAAATTATACATTTTATATATAAGTCGCACCTGAGTAGTATAAGTCGCAAAACCAGCCAAAGGATAAAAAAAAGTGCGACTTATAGTCCGGAAAATGGTAGTCAAAATTTCTCAACTTCAACTGACCGTGACTTTCTTTGGTGGATGAAAGCCTTAGCATAGTGTTAGCGCGATATGTCCGTTTCCTCTCACCTCGTCCTTTGAGAAGGCCAGAACATAGTCCAGTTCCTTGCCCCAGCCAATCTCGTACAGTAGAGGCTTGTCACAGGCATTCTCACACGAGTCACAATGCAGCCACCGTTTCTGGGCCACTGAGTAAACCTCTGTCCACACGTGGTCTGCAACAACACAAAGAACAAACAACCGCAACAGGAAGGTTAGGTCCCTTCGCAAAATTAAGGGGGAGAGACAATCGTGATTTTTGCTTCACAAAATATAGGGATTACCTTTACTGCACCATATATACCTGGCCTCAAGGCCTAAGGCTCTGCAACACAACGTGAAACAGTTGGCCCACTCCCCACAACGCCCTCTCCTGGTTTCCAACAGCTTCTCAGGATTGTTGTACCTGAATGAGAAAAAAAAAAAAAACAGCTCAGTTATTTATAATACCAAAAATAGAATTTTTATTTGTGTGTGTGTGTGTGATCCTGCCTCTTTTTCTGCTAAGCATGCACTCATTTTGACAACAGCGTGGTCCTTTTCATGTTTTAGTTTGGGATCCTAACAGGAAATAAGGAACTAGACTTTTTTTTTTTAATGTAAAAACTAACCTGCATGTTTTTGTACAGTGGAAGGAAACCAGAATTCAAGGACCCAGAGAACCCACACACACTCGGGGACTGTGTTGAGGGGGGATTTGTGTTGAGTAACACATCTGAACAGAAGTGTAACATTTGTTGTGCATGTTTTATACAGTAGCAGTTCAAATATTTTGTGTGAATCTCAACTTAAACAACGCAATCCATAGAAGACATCCGTAGACATCTGTAGAAGATACCTCTGTTTTGACTCGTAAATAAAATAAAAAAACAAATTGCATTTTTCTTCTTCAGCGCCGCTCATTCTGTAACACAACTAAAAAGAAAACAAGAGTGGAAATACTTTTTCATTTTTATGTACACCCCGCAAAAACGGTAACAAAATTGAATCTGAATTTGCAATCCAAGGCAGTAGCAGTATCAGTACCTGCTACTCCTGTACCACTGAAAAAGCACGTTTGCTATTTTGAGACTGACAGCCGGTCGACGGCACTCTACACCAGTATCTGCTACTTCTGTACCACTGAAAATTTACATGTTCTTTATTTTCACACTGACAGCCGCTGGAGGGCACTGGTGCGACTTATTCTAGTAGTAGTAGTAAAAAAATAATAATAATAACAACATGTAACCACCCCAATGAAAAAGTAGCTTCCACACACAGAGGGTCAATCCCCTCAGTTTATTCTCTCACTATTCAAAACACACTAATATACTTAATGATGTCACTGGGATGCCTCAAACCTAAGCGCCATCTTAGAATTTTCATTCAAACAGAATTTACCTCGGGAACCTGTTAGAGAGCTTGCAGCCGTGACAGTAATGGTTCTCCACTCGCTGACCTCCCCAACGCAGGTCGTCAGTGCTGGGCGTAAGGGAGCCAATGTTCTCCGTGGAGCCTCCGCAGGAGCTACAACATAAACTGTCGACCCAGGAGAAGAAGTCCTGCTTGAACCACCGGAGTAACTCCAGCAGCAAGAAGTCGTCCAGTCCAAAGTTACAATCTACAAAGAAGAGCGCCACTCAGTTTTGCTGTCTGCAACATTCACATTCAATTTGGAGTATTTAGAACAAAGTTCACCTTGATTGGCCTCTTTGAACTTTTTGAGCTCGTGTTGAGCAGCGGAGGACAGCTGCTGGCAAGGAACAACACCGCGGGCTTTCCGCCGCAGGTCTTCGTTTTCGTACAACATCACGTGCTGGAAGTTTGACTGGAGAGTAACGAAGAACTTCATGCTGTTCTCCTGATAGAACACAAGATGAGAATTTAGTAACAACTGAGAATTATAAAGAAATAAAATAAAAAAAATATGAATTTTGATTCGAAGCTTGTACGTAGACACTTGATTCCGTACCGTACCTCACTACATAACTTGCATAAACTTGGAATAAACTCAAGTTAGGTTTTTTTTCTTTTCTATTTTTTCATTTTTCATTTTTTTTTTTTGCTCTTTTCGATTTGTATTCTTTACTTTTATTCAGTTTTTCTTCACCTAACGTTCTTGATAGCATCCTTCTGCTTTAGGACGGTACATATCATGGATGTACTGCGATCATTAGGACTATACTGAAGAATGATGCATAAAATAGCGAAATCACGTAGATAACGCAAACACAATTCACAACTCGCAGGAGATGCGTACGGAAGTCGACTAGTGCTCGGCCACCTAACTTTCGCATCTGTAAGCGTGCTTGTATCTCGGAATACGTGTATGTTGGGACGCTTGTATCTCAAGGTATTACTGTACTTGCTTCCTCTTTTTTGTTGTCATCTGCTATACTTTGCTTTCACTCTACTCACAACTATCCTATGACACATTAATGCACCTAGTCTGGGGAAAAAATCATTCCAATCTACCATCTCTGTTTAGCCTTAATTGTCTGCTCATTTTATAATCCACCTTTGTACACTTCTCTGAATCCCAAACACGACCAATCAGACTGTCTTTAAAAAAAATCCACTATCATTAGCTCTTCTGAATTCTTCCTTTTTACAATTACTCAGCGATTCCTCATCACTTCTGGCCCCTTTACCAACTGATCCACTAAAGTTGTCCTTATTTTTCCCCCTCAGGCAATTTCCTACATCATTTCATTCAGCTTGCTCTGAACTATTTCTCTTCTAATCATCCTATCATCCTACAATCTTTTTATGCCCAAAACAGACTTCAAAGAGTTCCTTCAACATTATTCTCTTCCATCTGGCCTAATGTACATTCGAAGAATTTCATCTTGTCTGCCTTTCCTTTTCTATCTTTGCCACCTATTTTTCCCTATTTCAGTTCTAATCCTCCAGAAGACAAACTTCTGTCAGTCCCCTATTAGTCAATAGCAACGACAGTCACTGTAAACCTGGGCAACTACTAGCGGCGTTACAGGATGTCAAGGGATGAGATCTTGAGGTATTAAAGACCGTCTATATTTCACTTCATGGTAGCACAGCTCAACACATTCATTTAAGCATCACCAAGTCAAAGGGGTCCATAAAGGTTGTAAACAAAGAGAAAATGCACATGTCTAGACCAGCCATGGGCAAACTAAGGCCCGGGGGCCGGATGTGGCCCATTCAGCTTTTTAATCCGGCCCGCCAAACTTTTCCAAATTATAGAATTAATTCATTTTAGCAGTGGTGGCTTGGTGGTTAAGGAAGTAAACTTGTGTCCAGAAGGTTTCAGGTTCCAGTCCACGAGCTGCCAAGTTGCAACTGAGGTGCTCTGAGCATGGCTGACCGTCCCAACACACTGCTCCCCGGGTGCTTAAAGCTGCCCACTGCCCACTTTGATGATGGGTTAAAAGCAGAGGTCACACTTCATTGTGTGTGCAGTGGTGTGCTGTGTCTCAATGACAAATAATTCACTTTCACTTTCCTTATACTTCTGCCTTTTCCCTGCAATACCCACGTTTCCCCAATAGATGGCGTAGAAAATTACAAAAGTATTTTAGCATTTAAGCCTTTATACATACTAACACTCCATCTATCTGCTCCTGACCCGGCCGAGCTGTTCAATTTTAGGACTATTGTGGTAAAAAAAGTTTGCCCACGCTTGGTCTAGACGCATTATATGTACCAAGACTTTCTTTTAAGTAAGTGGTCAAAATGCAAAAATATATAGATTTTGTTATTTAAATTGGGAACATATTTACCACGGAATTTGACTGTGTTGGTAGGACTGGCTGGCTGGAAGCAGCAGTAGAGCTCTGTGATCCTTCCAAGGATGGAACAAGCGGTGTTCTTAGTTGATGAGGTGCACCTTGTTGCAGTCTCTTATCTCTCTCGGCTGCAATGGAATCTCTGAGGAGCTTCAGTTGTTCCACTGATGCCGACATTGGGAACACCAAGTGGGTCTCAGCCTGAAAGGGACAAGCTATATTAGTTACTCCACTAAAAATCCAAGTAGAGCTCAGCAATAAATAAATGTTATTGTGTTATTGGTTTCATTAGAGTAGTACTTCTCAAATAGTGGGACGGCAGCCCCTGGGTGGGGCGTGGTGAGGGGCTTCCAATGGAATAAGGCACACGACATACTGTAAGTACCACTGCTGTCATGCTTGAAAAAAAACAAGCCTCTAGGTGGCAGCAACGCATTCAGTGGTTTGCACAGATAAAAATATACATGTTATTAGGTTCTCCATAGTATTTTCAATGAGAACCACTGCATTAGAGTATTACATGACTTATTCTATATCATGGGAGCAGGTGAATTAATTTCATACCTCTTCAAATCCCATCTCAAAAAGACACTCCACAGCTCCTTTGGTTGGCAGCAGCTTTGTTGCAAACGTAGGATTTCCAATTCTGATAGATCTGTACTTTTCTTCATTGGGATACCTGAGGGAGATTGGACATTTATTCTCATTTCCATCCATTCATCCATCCATTTTCATCCGTTACCAGGTCGCGGGGGCAGCAGTCTTCACCCAAATCACATTGCACCGTACCAAACCCCCTAAACCTTCCTGCGGGTGGTGAGTCCACTGGAAGGTACCAACCGCCCTAACCAGGATTCGAACTTGCCCAGTATCTGTCTTTCTATATTTTTCCACCAAATTACAAAGAAGAATCACGTAAAATATAATAATATATAATAATGAAGAATACAAATATATATATACATTTTAATCCTAAATCATTTTTTGAGAGCAGTTTTGAGTAGTTTGGGTATGTTTATTCTAGGTTATGAGACCATGATTCATCTCTCCTGGTGCTCATGTACACGTTTAAACAGGGGTGTCACATCAGCAGTGAAACTGAAACAGGATCGACATTTGTATATGTATTTTAACTAAAGCGTGTCAATAGATAACTAACACATACAACTAGACATACTAAAGGTTGAATCAACAGAAACTACATGTATTATTGACATTTTCAGCGACAGCAACGATCACTGCTGTTTTACCTGCCGTAATGGATCAAAACATACCTTAAAATGTTGTCCGCATACGTGAGCAGCAGTTTAGAGACGTCGAGGAAGACGTCATTTGTATTGACACACAATAGTTCTAAAGCGGGGGACACAGACATTCCAGGGTTTCTTTTCCAAAACAAAATACCAGCAAAATAACAGTAGAGCCCTATTGCGCCGGATAATGCAAGAGCATTGGGGTCTTCGCGGAATGTGTCCTACAAGCGCCTGCATATAATTAGCGAAAGCGTTGTTTTGTAGAATTTTTTTTTTTGGTTTTGGTTTTCCAACGGGGTTTGGTTTTTGGTGAGTTGAACAGAATAACTTTTTTTTTTTTTTTTTTTACAGTTGTGACGTTTACTGAGCAGTTTTAAATTGACTGGCAAACGTAAGGTCGCCATGTTCAATGTGGACGTTGTTAAAGGAGTCGTTTAGCTTGAAGTCGGTGAAAATACAAGCACAAAGTTTGGGATACGCACGGGCATCATAAATAAACGACAACTTAGTTAATGTTTGTTTTTGAAGAGTTTGCTAAGATAGAGTTATAATCGAACTGTCAGCTTCGACGGAAGGAAATTCATGTCTGCTTTGTTATTATGTTGGACCCGTCTCCATCTGACACCCCAGAGTGTGAGAACACGTCTACATCCAATATGTAGTAGTGTATGTATTTACGCAGAACATTTAAGGCGTCACAGCTCTGGGGAGACAAGAAGGAGAGTTGTAGTCACTGGCATAGGCTTGGTGTGTCCCCTCGGCACAGGTACTTCGCTGCCCTGGGAGCGGCTTATCAATGCCCAGAGTGGAGTTATTGCTTTAGACCCCGAGACGTACAAGGACGTTCCGTGTAAAGTGGCTGCTCTGGTACAAAGAGGGACCGAAAACGGCCAGTTTAACGAGGGGAGCTATGTCTCCCGCAGTGACATAAACCGTATGTCCCCAGCCACAGTAATGGCTCTTGGAGCTACACAGCTAGCTTTGGACGATTCAGGTTGGTACCCTGCTTCTCAAACTGAACAGCTTAACACAGGGGTGTCTGTGGGCATGGGCATGGTTTCCTTGGATGACATTGCCCACACCTCTGCCGCCTTTCAGCAAAAGGGGTACAACAAAGTAAGCCCCTTCTTCGTGCCACGTATCCTTGTTAATATGGCTGCTGGACACATAAGTATCAAACACAAACTGAAGGGTCCAAATCATGCGGTGTCCACAGCGTGCACCACAGGCGCACATGCCATTGGTGATGGAGCGAGATTCATCGCCCATGGGGATGCAATCGCTATGGTAACAGGGGGAACCGAGTCATGCGTAGGACCGTTGTCCATTGCCGGGTTCGCAAGGGCACGGGCCCTCGCTACCAAATGGAATGACACACCAGAATTGGCGTCGAGACCATTTCACCCCGAGAGAGAGGGCTTTGTGATGGGCGAAGGAGCTGCTGTGCTGCTGCTGGAGGAGATGGAGCATGCACTGAAGAGAGGAGCTCGGATCTATGCCGAGATCCTGGGCTATGGACTGTCAGGCGATGCCAGCCATATCACTGCGCCTTCTGCAGATGGTGATGGGGCCTTCAGGTGACTTAATTAGATGGTGTTATGTAATCATTGGTGCTCCTTTCTAAAGGATATTTAATAAGAAAATGCCATTTATTTTGTCATGAAAAATTCTCGCCCTGGTAATTTTTCCCCCTCCAAAATAAGAATATGAATTGCTTGATCACAAAGGCTGTATGCATTGTGTCTAACATTTGGATTAAATTCTTTTGAATTGAATGCAACAATATAAAAAAACGGCAAAGTTTTGCATGGTTCATGAAATTTTAGTTGGGACCAACACAGGAAATACAGTCTTAAAGTTACGAATTTGACAAAAGATTTAATCAACTTTTTTTAAACAACAAATAAAATCAACTTAAATTAAACTGCGTTATCTCTTTCCTCCCAGGTGCATGTCTGCTGCCCTCAAAGATGCTGGGGTCTCACCTGCAGACATAACCTATATAAATGCCCACGCTACGTCCACTCCGTTGGGCGATGCAGCCGAAAACGCAGCCATCAAAAGACTCTTCCATCGAAACACAAAAAGCCTGGCCGTCTCGTCCACCAAAGGAGCCACGGGACATTTGCTGGGAGCCGCAGGAGCCCTGGAAGCCGCTTTTACAGCTATGGCCTGCTACCATGGGATCCTGCCCCCTACTCTTAACTTAGATTGCACAGAGCCAGAGTTTGACTTGAACTATGTTCCCTGCAAAACCCAAATGTGGCAGACTCAGAGCCGGAGGGTTGCGCTCACAAACTCGTTCGGGTTTGGTGGTACCAATGCATCACTGTGTATTGCCGGTGTGTGAGGAGACACAGTGTGTGTGTGATAGTTTAACTGAGTATTTGTCAGTAATGCTATAGGTGGTTGGTTAAAGGTATAGGTTAATGATTTTAACCTTCCGGTTGTCCTTCGCATTTTGTACACACTTGGCGTCCTCGCACCGGGTTTACATCTCGTCCCAGAATCAGAGTATGCCGAAAACACACAAATGCATATTATCAGCCACCGGGTTTACCTAGACCCGAAGGACAACATGAGGGTTAAACAGGTGAGAAGCTGTCGTAAGAGTTTTAGCTTGGTGATTGTTCTTGTGTTCCTGTTGACAAAAACGCATCTGGATTGACCATTGCAGTCAAATTAAACTTTAAAAGAAGTAAAAAGGAGAAAAAAAAAACCAAAGTTCTGGTTGGATTGTCTGGGTTTTTTTTTCACATTTTAAACATTTATATACATTAGGGATGTTCGATAATATCAGCTGGCCGATATTAGCATAATTATGTAATGTCGGCTTTTCTTCAGATAAAGAAAACCCGATAACACAATGCCAGGGTTGTGCCAAATGTGTGCTCAAAAAATAGTTTTGCAGATAAATGGCTGTATATTAAAATGAAAGTCACTAGATGGCAGCATTGCAGCTCATTTACACTCATTAACGCTCATTTATTTTAATAATCAGCGGATTGCATGCAGAATGCAGATAAATACAGATAAATAAATATTACCAGGCCTGTATTTTCTTTGGAATATTTCCCCACTGTTGCACACAAGTAAAGTAGCTACAATATGTGTCCTTCTTAGTTAACTTGTGTATGTATGTACTATTTTTTCACATACAGAATTTGGGATATTCAAACAGTGAATGGTGTATTTTTACAATAGTGTTGTATCACAGCGGCACTGTGATTATCTCCCCCCTCCCTGTTTTCCACAGTACCTGCTACCGTTGAAATGACAATGTTTTCACTCTTCTTTCACGCTTTTATAACCTATATAAATGCTCGTGCTGATTTATCGTATTTTCTGGACTATAAGTCACGCCAGATTGCAAGTCATGCCAGCCGAGAAAATGCACAATGAAGAAGAAAAAAAACATATACTGTATGTCACTCTGAAGTAGTGGCTGTCAGTGTGAAAATAAAGAATATGTAGATTTTCAGAGGTACAGGAGTAGCAGATAATGGTACAGTACAATAAGCCTAGAGTGCCCTCTAGCGGCTGTCAGTGCCAAAATAACAAACGTGAAATTATATAATATGGTTAATATAATAGTATAGTTAGTATAATATATAGTTGCACCTAAGTATAAATGGCAACCTCAGCCAAAGGATAAAAAAAGTGCTACCTATAGTCCGAAAAATACGGTAATTGCTAAATATCTTATATATTACATTATATACAAAACTGTAGTACCATTTTATTTTAAAGAAAAAAAGCTGTGCAGGAATATCCAAAATCCTTCGATGAATTTACGTATATATAATAATGCATACAGCATCTTTACCTCATCATTCATGTGTAACCTTGCAAAAAAGGGTAGGGTGTTCAATTAAAAAAAAAGATATTAACCATCTTTAGTTTGTCTACCCTAGTTTAAAAAAATAAATAAACCAAACGCTCATCTCGAGTTGATGAAAACAATAGTTTTCAGTTTTAGTCAAGTGTACATTCATAAACAAACGTAAATGATTTAACATTTCTTTTGCCATTTAAAAAGTATGAATACATTCCACCTAAATTTTCGCACATTTTACCTTTAAATGCGATTAACCTCGGCATTGTCTTAAATGGAGCTATAAAAGGCGCAAACGGGAACAAGGCCTGTGCTAGTCTATTGCACTGGAACTTTTGGTCAATCCTCAATGTACTCCCATAGATCCTTCTCATATCCTTCGTGCACGTGTTGCAACAGCACTCTCCGCCTTGTGTCACAATATCTATACTTATCTTGTACTTTCTGTTTTATATCCATCAGGGAATCTTGGGATATGTCCCGCTCAAGGTATCCTGAAAGCACCTCAGTGGCGTTTTCCAAGTCCGCTTGGTTGTTCTCGAAAATGATCGACTGGTTGTTCTTCCTCAGATAAAAGGCAAAGACGTAGGTGAACATAAGCATGGAGCGACACTGGCACAGCACGTCGACGGCCTTCTTCAGAAACTGAACCTCATTCCAGGACATGTTGTGCTGTAGCATCTCCTCCATTTTCTGCTTGATCTGAGCGTAAAGATTGTGCTCAAAGCGCAGGCTCTGCATGTGGTTCATGTAGCGATTACAGTAGAACAGGTACCTCAACAAGGCCGCCCTGGAGCGCTCCTGGGCATCTCTGGCAGCCTTAGCGTCCTCTGCGTCATAACGGTTGCAGTTGTACCAGGACGAACCGTGGGGCTCCCACGGACCAAGACAGACCCAACAGAACTCCGCTTTACAGTTCTGATTTCGACACACCATATGATTGCAGCCACCGTCTTTCTCAATAGTCACGTGGCATTTCGGACACTCCTTGGTATTCGCTGCGATCCAGTTAGAAGTCGCGCTGTCGTCGTCACATTTTCGAATCCATCTTCTCAGCCACATACACCTGACCGGATCGTGCCATTTCTCTCCACAGTTAAAACAGAACTGATGGCCGCACTTGCACTTTACCGGTCGCGCATCGAGGTACTGGACTTTGACAACGTGATGGCAGTCTGGCGCCGGACACCACTTTAATAGTCGATTACACTCCACGAAACTGTTCGTGATTAAATGTTGATATTTCACCTTGACTTCTGAATCTGTTATGAGGCGCATGACCGTGTCGTCGTCGACCAAAATGTCACAACTATGAGCAGGACAGGATATGGTTTGTCCCATTCCTTCTTCCATGATTTTGGTGGTCAGGTAATCCCCCCAGCACTGCATGCAGAACCTGTGTCCACACTCCAGGCCTGTGAAACAAGAGCTTGGAAAATTCAAGTAGCAAATCTGACACGGTACGTACCTGGTTGACGACCTGGTGTTCATTTGAACACGAACCCGAGGCTTTTTCCCGGGGTTGATGACATGACATTCGGAGTAAAGATTATCGACGTTTCCATCAAAGTATCTTTCGAAAAGTTTGTCCTTATCCCAGTTAAAGTGACTAAGAAGGATCCGCGTTATTGTCACAGCATTTTGGATGATGTCGTTAACTTCCCTTATGCACTCGACCATATGTTGAAGGATCTGCTCTGCGGTTAAAACCTGAAATTGGTAGTCTTCTTCCTCTTCCTCCTCCTCCCCATTGCTGTGGCTACATGCACTTGGGTCTCCACACTCATGTTGCTCCACATCAACCAAAGTATCATCAATCTCCCCTTCTTCGATCTCCATGGGGTCATCTTCGGGCTCCAATTTATTTACATACTTGAAGTGGTCCTCTTCACCATCTGATTCCATTCTTGGGGGCGCAGAGGATTTGTGATGAGCTGACCTCGGGATCGACAGCGTGCAGCGCAGTATTGGTTGATGAGTTTGATGAGATGCATGAAAAACAACTACTCATTTAAGCTGCCTGGGTGAACAATGGCCATTTTGTCACCGACAGCCAGGACCTTTCATTAAGAAAGTGTGAGAAAACTCTTCGGTATTAAAAGTTGAAAGACACTTTCGGACTTGAAGGGATCGAGGATGTCTATGTCAATGTTGGTGTTCTCTTTGTGCTACTGCAGCTTCAACTTATATTACTGCATCATTGCATCACTCAAGTTATATTAGGTAAAGATAATTCTGATGTCATCCAGCAATATCAAAGGAGCACGATGTATGAAAGACCCATATATGTAAATATGTTAACGTGTTTTGTTGGAATTACCCCCTAATGGTGGCCAAATGAAACAGGATGGAGGGATGGATGGATGGATTGGTGGATTGATGGATTGATGGATGTATTGATGGATTGATGGATGTATTGATGGATGGATTGATTGATGGATTGATTGATGGATTGATGGATGTATTGATGGATTGATGGATTGATTGATTGATTGGTGGATTGATGGATGGATTGATTGATGGATGGATTGATGATGGATTGATGGATGGATTGATGGGTGGATGGATGGATGGAGTGATGGATTGGTGGATTGATGGATGGATTGATTGATGGATTGATGGTTTGATGGATTGATTGATGGATTGATGGATGGATTGATGGGTGGATGGATGGATTGATTGATTGATTGATTGTATACTTTACATATATATCCTAAAGTGGAAAAGTACCACTTATAGATATTTTGTTAATTCTTTTTATTGCCCTAAATGTGTTTATGCAGTGGCCAACGCTCACATCCTGTAAAACATATGTGTCAAACTCAAGGCCCGGGGGCCAAATGTGTGGCCCGCAGGAGCTTAAAAAGCAAAGTAGTAAAGTCCATGCAGCAGAGTTTCTTAACCTATAAAATTATTTTTTTTTATTACACAGCACTGAACAATATTTGTAGCTTGAATAAATAATAATCAATTGCAGATACATGTATTAGTCTTTGACGGAGTAGTTACACCTATACCAGTGGTCCCCGACCTTTTTTGTTCCAAGGACTGGTCAGCCAGTACCACCTGTTACCCGTGACCTATTGTTTACTAAATTAGTAAAAATTAAGTACATTTTTTTACTGTGTCCCACTGCAGCCCGGTACCAAATGACCTATGAACTGGTACTGGCCCGCGCACCGTGGGTTGAGGACCCCCTGATCTATACAGTCTTCCATTTACAACCGGCCCTTCAAGGGGAACAGTATTGATGATGTGGCCCCCGGTGAAAGTGAGTTTGACACCCCCTGCTGTGAAATCTTTTTAGTGTCGAAACTTGTCGAAATTGCTGACACTGGACAATGTTCATAATCTTCATTCACTGTAGTTGTTGCGTGTAACGTTGTGTTTCTCTCTATTAAGAGAACAAGCAGGGCGAACCAGGAAGCGGAACACAGAGGAGTAGGGTGAGCAAAAAAAAAAGGAATTGATGTCCAACAGTCAATGCTGTAGACGTGGAGGTGAAGCTGATGGAACAGCGGCGGTGGTGGCAATGACGACGCAGCGAGACCAGATGGATGAGGCTGATGGGGAACAGAGGAGGCGGTTCACCGTGGGGCTTTTGGCAAGTGATTGGCTACAATTGGCAGAAACGGTGGCAATATATATACAGTATATTACTGTATATATACACACACTACTATATATATATATATACTCCTATATATATATATATATACATACATGTATATGTATATGTATATGTATATATGTATATGTATATGTATATGTATATGTATATGTATATGTGTATGTATATACAGTACAGTAGGTATATATACATACCTACGGTATATATATGTATATATGCATATACATTAAAAAACAAATGAAACTGCCATGGACTAAAATGATCGGACCCTCGGAGTAAAAATTGGCAATAATTTAAACACAAGAACTAATCCAGATGTGGGCAAACTTTTTCACTCGCGGGCCACCATTGTTCTAAAATTAAACACGGGGGCCGCAGGGTCAGGAGCAGATAGATGAATCGTTCATGCAAACTAAGATAAATGACATGTAAAAGTCATGCATAAAAGGCTAAAATGCTAAAATGTTTTTTTTTTAATCAATTTCTACACCATCTATTGGGGAAACATGGGTATTGCAGGGAAATGGCAGAAGTATAGTGATAACATAAATAAATGATATAATTTGGATTAAAAAGCTGAATGGGCCGCATCCGGCCCCCCGGGCCTTAGTTTGAACTAAAGTGTGTCTTATAATTAGCATCACAGGTGTCTTCAAACTAGTAATCAGTCAGTCTGCTGACTCTCTCTCTCTCTCTCTCTCTTCTCGTCCCCTCTCTTTGACTCGTTCCCCCCCCTTGTCTACATTCCTCCCCTCTCTCTATCTCCCTCCCCCTCTCTTTTCTATCTCCCTCTTTCTTATCACCCTCCTTATGTTTCCTCTCTCTCTCCCTCTTTCTTCTCGCCCCCTCTCTCTCACTCTTCCTCTCCCTCTATTTCCTATCTCCCTCTCTCTCTCTCTTATAACCCCTCTCTCTCACTCTCTTTCCTATCCCCTCTCTCCCTCTCTTTCCTATCTCCCCCTCTCTCTTATCACCCCTCTCTCTCACTCTTCCTCTCCCTCTCTTTCCTATCCCCCTCTCTCCCCTCTCTTTCCTATCCCCCCTCTCTCCCTTCTCTCTCACTCTTTCTCTCTTTCCTATCTCCCCCTCTCTCCCCTCACTTTCCTATCTCCCCCTCTCTCCCTTCTCTTTCCTCTCTCTCTCCCTCCCCCTCCCTCTCTCCCGGCTCCCCTCTCTCTATCTCCCTCCCCCTCCCTTTCCTATCTCTCTCTCTCTCTTCCGTGTCTCCCCATTCACTTCGCTGGGCGTTCGTGTCACACTGCCACACTGAATGGCACAAAAAAAAAGCAGCACTTGTTCATCACCTACACTGAGGGATAATCCGACGGCGGCGGAATCCAGCACCCCCAACGGGAACGCCGGAATGGAAACGGTGTCCGTCGTCAACGTCACCTGCATGTGAAGTGAGCGGCGTTGATTGTCTGTGACTAAAGCTGATGATCTCTGTGACTGCGCTTAAGTCCGTGACATGTGTGTCGCCTGTTGCTCCCGTTGTCTGTCTCTGCTTCAGCGACGTCTCCCTTGTATGTCGCTTGTCATCCTAACGTCCGTCTCGGCTGCTTTTCATGTGACGCCGCTGTGTGTGTAAATGGTGACATTGTGAATAAAAAGCCTCACCCTTCTCACCATCGGATTGCATACATTGCACAAAGCTCAGTTGAAGGGTTGCGTGCTGTTTTCAAAGCGCTGTGACGCCATTATAACGAATCAACTTAACGACTCTGGGGATTTTACGAAATAACGCATCATGACGAGAATACAATAAAGGCAACATTTGAGTCTTTTAATCAGCGAAGTGTTAAAATACATGTTCTTACTTTAATACGTGTTCGCCTGCGAAATACCTGCAGTCATTTCCCCATTAACAGCCTCGCAGGGCGGTAGCACCTCAATGCGAAGCGTTCCCTGAAAGTTAAAATGCCATTAAAAATTGCGGAAGCTGGATTTGTTCATTTGGCCGTTTCGTTGCCATTTTAGCCTCCTTTCTTTTACTTTTATGACAAATATATAAAAAAAGTGATTACTGTGCGTCAATAATGACCAGGTTGTAGAATAAGGAACACACTTGTGACTGTTCTGCATAGTGGGGGGGGGAAAAAAGACGGAAAAGGTTCATAGTGGAGATTTTTTCTTCTTGCCGATATCGTCCAAACACGTATTTCCCTGTCTTTCCCCCAAAACTATTTTTAGATCACATCACATATCACCTGTCGTGGAATTTACACATTTACTCGAAAGGCATTCCACAACTTAGTGTTGTTTGCACAAAATAAATGTTTAAAGAGAACACAGAGGTTTTCATTATCGGAGTAAAAAACGATAATGACTATTAATTATCTTTATGCTAATGCTAATATCGGGCCGATAATATCGGTCGGCCGATATTATTCTCGTCCGTTTTTTATGCTGACACAATCTCCTCAGTTTGTTTTTAAACAAAATGTGTTAATATATGTAAATCGCTTGCTTAAGCAACAACGAGAACTGTTTTTCTCCTGCAGTCAAGTCCATCCTTGACGTAATGCATTCAGGGGTCCTAGTTTTGTTGAGGCAAGGGTGGTTTCCAATTGTGACATCAGCAACATGTCTCCTGGCAATCGATGTTAGCATTTGGCATATGTGCAGTTGGAGATTGTCTGGGTCATACCAGTTCAGACTAGGTACAGAGTTCAAATTAGGTACCTGGCTTGGCATCAGAGATGATATTGTTTTCCATCCAAGAGACAAGGCAAAAATTTAAAAAAAAAAATTGCAGTACAAAAGCATAATTCATTTTTGTTTCAATAAATTTTTATTATAATGTTTTCTCTTATTTTTCAATCGAAATCATGTTTTCCCTAAAAATAATTTGGTTATTTTTTATGCTGACACAATCTCCTCAGTTTGTTTTTAAACAAAATGTGTTAATATATGTAAAGACATTTTTTTTAACAATGTCACCTTATATCTAAAGTATTTTACTTGATGTTTTTTTTAATTTTTCTATTAATTCTTGGATTTTTTTTATACTGAAACCTTTTTTTATTTTTATTGGGCCTCGGTCAAGCGCAAACCAGGTTTTAATCCATTAGAAACACAGACCAAAAAACTTCACCAACGGGAAAGATAAAACCCAAAGTCAAAGTTGCATTTTCACTAATTTATTATTAATACCAGAAACTATTTTCAAATACCGCATTTTCCAGACTATAAGTCGCTCCGGCCAAAAAATGCATAATGAAGAAAAAAATACAAATATAAGTCGCACCAACGCCCTCTAGCGGCTGAAAGTGTGAAAAATAACAAACAAGTGAAATTATATATTTTAAAAAAACAAGTCGCCCCTGAGTATAAATTGCAAACCCAGCCAAAGGATGGAAAAAAAGTATATAGTTATAGTCCGGAAAATACAGCAGTAGTAGAGAACCTGAAGCTGACCTTATCTAATGAATATAAGAGTACATATTCAAAGGTTCGGACGTGTATGAGAAGGAATGCTATTCTGAGGCTTACTGTTGCGTAATTAGCATGCTTCCCGAAATCAAATTTCGAAAAAAATAATAATCAATAAATAAATAGGGTGCACAACTGTGGGTTTCTTTCGTAGAGCTCAGAAGGCGTTGGGTCAGTGATCCTCGAGGCAGCTGTATGTTCACTGCATATTCAACGTCATAGTCACTCCTCTACAGCATAGAAGGTTGTAAACTCAGCTACCAAAGCGCCTGAAGCCCCAACCCGGTGTCACCAGAGCCCACACAGGCCCCCAAGTGATGAAGCAGCTACACAGAGCAGGAGGCCCACCGACGACAGAGCAGACTTGAGGCAGGATCAAACAAACCTATCTCTTATACTCTTATACCCCCCTTTTCTGTGAACCCTTCCCTGACCCACAGCTGTAGATGGGCAGATCTCTGACAGGTACCGATAACGTTGCTGAGTGTACATCCGTTCAAGGATTCTATAAGTGTTTCTTCTTCTTCTTCTTCATTTGGCTGTTTTCTTCGGGAAGGTCACAACGGTGGATCATCTGCCAATTTATTATCCAAATAGAATAGATTAACCCCATCAAACAACAACAACAACAACAACAACAAAAAGTCTTCTTCTTCGTCTTTCTTCCGGTCCCCTTCTGGGTTTGCCGCAGCAGATCGTCCGTCTCCGTCTCAGCCTAGTATCTAATACGTAGTATCGAGGTAAGCCGAAGGAGGGCACGTGGAAATCAAAAGTACTTTTATTCTATCAAGATGCCGATGCAATCAAAAATAGGACATAAATGCAGAAATAAAGTCATCAGTAATCATCGGTTTTCTCTGACCAATCATTATTGAATGTATATTTTTCAACTTTGAGGTGAACCAAAAATATATTATTCATTTTGAAATGATAGCGCATGTTGCTGGTTCTGTTGACGGCTGCAAGGAAATGAAGTTTGCCTGCCCCTGTTACATTGTAAAATTATTGTAATTTCAGCTTTTTTTTTCTTCAGTTTGTCCCGAAGTGTGTGGACTTTGCACAGATTGACGTGTACACCGAGAATAACAGCTGCGCAGTTTGTAGGAATTAAAGCTGCGCCGCTGTGTGTGCGCGCTGTGTGTGCGTGCGTGTATTCGTATCAGGTCACTGATAGATGGAAATGAAAATGTCAGCGAAGATGAATAGAACTTTTATAAAACGCCTTTGGCGTTTTCGTGTTACCTTGAAAATAGATGAATGTTGCTGCCTGGTTTAGAATCTGTACTTGGTCTGTGAGAGAAACTCACAGAACTGGTATGTACCCCGGTCAAGTTACATGTAGAACTTACTATAGGTGCACTTACAGTGCTTTCACGGAGGCAAGAGCTAGCAGCAATGTCATTAGGGATCTTGTTTTATGTAGATGGATGGATGGGTGGATGGGTGGATGGATGGATGGATAGATAGATAGATAGATGGATAGATAGATACATGGATGGATACATGGATGGATGGATGGATGGATACATGGATGGATAGATAGATGGATGGATAGATGGATGGGTGGGTAGATAGATAGATAGATAGATAGATAGATAGATAGATAGATAGATAGATAGATAGATAGATAGACCCACGTGCAAGAACTGAAAACTGCTTACACACACTTTCTTACTCTGCATTTGAGTTCCCCCCTTAAAATTCACCCATCCCAACGCGAACATTCATTGTTTGCACTTGTGGTCCTTATATCTTTCACTCATTTACCTTCCCCGTCTTGTTTGTCTGACATGCCCCACTCGTCAGTCTGAGTAGAAAAAAACAAGTTCTGTCGCGCTCCTTCTTCAGCCTATGTTAAACACCCACACGGGTAAAATATTGAACTGGAGAAAAGAATAAAAGAATAGACCCTTTTTTAATTTGCAGAACTTGCGATAGTTCGCCATGCCACACTCGACGAGATACGGTGTTCCCTCTCTGTATCGCGGTTCTGCTTTCGCTCCCTCAGTACACTTTGCAGATTTGCTTGACTTTAAAAATGTGGGTTCTTGTTTTCTTTGCAGATTTGCCTGACTTTAAAAATGTGGGTTCTTGTTTTGAAATTGAGGGAAGCCCATTTGCGAACGATCGCCGGTAGCTTTGTTTACCTGGACGAGATCGTACACAGCATGTTATTGCCTAATACAATGTGAACTCGGTGTGCTATTGGCACAAATTGAGCAGGCTCTTCTGTTCCTCACACTGATTGGCTCATGCATCGTAGCAACTCCCGTTGTCTGTCGGCCACTCTCTTGTTCACTTCTTATACAACGCTACTGTCCATATAATTGTGTGGGAAAGGGTAATACAGTCTGAAGAGGGTTGATACCAGTGTGGGGGGAGGTTCGGAAAGGGTAAATAAAAAAAAAATTAAGTTGAAGTATATTGATCGAATCTTTGGGAAATTCTTGAGTTTACAGCAGGTACGCTATCAACAGGCTGCCCCCAGAGGTATGTGTGCTAACCGCTACACTATGGGACCGACTAAAGTACTAGCAGCGGTGGGATTCGAACCCACGCCCCCGAAGAGACTGGAGCCTTAATCCAGCGCCTTAGACCGCTCGGCCACGCTACCACGCTACGTCGATAATATAATAACTACCTCATCTCTACGTCACGATTTTTCCCATTTTGCAGTGGGTCTTGGAACGCAACTGCCGCGATAGTAGTGGGATTTACTTTTGTATTTATAAATATTTTTACTTTTGTGAAAAGAGAGAGTATTTTATGTTACAAATGCCGCCATTTTTTTTACTATTGTATTCATTTACATTTAAAACAAGGACGGAACAAAGACTAATAATTGAGAATAAGTGTATCTATAACATTGGCGGTTAAACCTTTCTTACTGTTTGATCTCGTTTCCAGGCATCATGATTACACGTCACTTCCCAGAATCTCCACTTGACAGACAGTGAGGATCAAGGTGCCGTTTATCGGATGCATGTGACAGACCAGAGTCGGTACTGCGGCCGCAGGCGGAATGCTGCCGAGACCCCGTCAGCATGACCTTGCTGGACGTGTGGCTTTCACGCTCCATCCCCATGTGCCTGCTCCTCCAGAGCCTAGTCCTCATGGCTCTGTGCTTCCCGTCAGCTAGCATGTGTCCGAAGGGCTGCATTTGCCTCCGTGACTCCCATCTTCACGGCCTCAACGTCACCTGCAGTCACTCCCGCCTCAAAGAAATCCCCCCGAGTCTCCCCATTGACACGGTCCTGCTGAGGCTGGATCACAACCACATAGGAGCGGTCCCCGATCAAATCTTCCGTGGACTTCGGATTTTGAGGGAGCTCAATCTCTCGTACAATGCCATAGAACATTTGGAGGAGGCGGCCTTCGCCGGCATCGAGGCGACGCTGCAGCTGCTGGACCTTTCCCACAACCGCATCACGAGCGTACACAAGGACGCCTTTTCCCGCTTGAAGGCCCGCGTCATCGTGAATGACAACCCCTGGCACTGTGACTGCACCCTCCAACAGGCAATCAGTGGAATGGCTCACAACCACGAGGCCGCTGCCCGGGTCCTGTGCAGGAGCTCCGAGCTTCTCGATCAGGAGGGAAGGCCTTTCTTGGCAGTGGACACTGACCTTTGTAACCTGGCCAAAAGAACAACAGACTACGCTATGTTGGTGACAATGTTCGGCTGGTTTGCCATGGTGATTTCTTACGTGGTTTATTACGTCCGGCAGAATCAGGAAGATGCCCGACGCCACCTGGAGTACCTCAAGTCTCTCCCGAGCAAACCCAAGAAACCCGACGAGGCTGACGACATTAGCACTGTGGTCTGATGGAGTAATAGTGATTACTAACACCAAAATGTTTATGTTAGGAAATAGAGAAAGAAAATTTTTTTTTATTATTTTCAAACTGCTGGTGCGTTCTCATCCTCGCTTAATTTTCACCACTGGTTTTTAGTCGTTTTTAACCCTCGTGTTGTCCATCGGGTCTAGGTGACCCGATGGCTGATAATACGCCTTGGTTTGTGTGTATGTGTGTATGTGTGTATGTGTGCGTGATCCTGTACTGCACGGCTTGTGCCAACTTTTCCTCATACTGTTTCGGGGACAACGTGCAAACCCGTTGCGAGGACGTTGGGTGTGTAGAAAATACGATGGTCAATGGGAGGGTTGAGATAATCTTCTGCTCACGTTAGTGTAAAGTTTGTTACGCAAGCTTTTATATGGTCAATGGGAGGGTTAAGATAATCTTCTGCTCACATTAGTGTAAAGTTTGTTACGCAAGCTTTCACAGTTGAGAAATCGGAGAACAGAACGCTGACAAAGACATTTTTTTCTTCAGAGAAAAACTGTCAAATAACGGGACGGATCTTCCGTGTTAAAACTAAGCATAAAACTAAGCCGCTAAGCATAGCTTTAGAATCGTTAACTCGCTGGACATGTGGTACCCACTGGTCATAATCACCAAATAACCTAATAGGTAACTACATTGGCAGCTATAACATTTTTGCGGATGTCACGATATGAAAACACTAGGGGGCGTCAAATGACTAAAATTTCGAATCTACCGTATTTTTTTTCTGGACTCAAAGTCGCTGCGGAGTACAAGTCGCACCAGCCAGCTAGAGTGCCCTCTAGCGTCTGTAAATATTCAGTACTACAGGAGTAGCAGATACTGGTAGACAAGCCTACAGAGTCCTCTAGTGGCTGTCATGTGAAATGATACATTTTAATACATAAGTCGCACCCGAGTATAAATCGCAAACACAGCCAAAGGATGAAAAAAAATAGTGTGACTTATCGTCCGGAAAATAGGGTAATTAATTGCAGGGCAGCTGTGAATAAATTGGTTCCAAATGATGGAATTAATGATGTTAAAAAATATTTAAAAAAAAATATGCAAAGGTGTAATTCAATATTAATAATTTTATCAGTCTGATGCAAGGCAGGCATTGACCCCACAAATTATTATTATCATTTGATTATGATTATTGTATTTTTAACTAAGTGCTAAGTAGATGAACGGTGAAACTGATGGATAGACGTTGCACTCAAATGCGTTCATATTTTTTTTTTATAAGTCGCACCAGCCAAAAAATGCATAATGAAGTAGAATAAAATGTATTTAAGTTGCTTCGGAGTATAAAAATCGCACCAGCCAAGCGATGAAAAATGGTGCGACTTACAGGAGAGTAGCAGATACTGACACACAAGCCTAGGGTGCCCTCTAGCGGCTGTCAGTGTGAAAATAACAACCAAGTGAAATTATATATTTTGATATATGGGTCGAACCTAAGTCGCAAAACCTGACTTATGGCCCTGAAAATACAATAAGTAATTGAATATCGCAAAACCCCGCCACAGGATGATAAAAGAGTGTGACTTATAGCCCTGAAAATACAATAAGTAATTGAATTAATTAATCAGTATTAAGTAATTAATACAATATTTTTTACAGTCCTGGAAACTTCAAAACACTTTGGCAATAACAAGTTGCTTCAAGTCTACGACTGTGAATTGAATTGAATTGAAAGCAAAATAAGAGGGAATGCAACACAAAAAATCAGATATGTTTTGTTTTTTTTAATCATTGTTATCGTGGGGAACTTGCCTTTCCTCTCAACGCATCATTCGTATTGTTGCACTATTTTATTTTTGCACAACTTGTCAACAAGACTATTTATCATTTTTGGGAAAAAAAAAAGGGAAGATTTATTGAAACGGGGATGTCAGAAAGATGATTTATCATGCCTCTAGTTTGAGTAAAACTGTCAAAGCATGCATCGTTCCCCTTATATCAACATCAATGTGGAACGGGATGTTTGCAGCAGAGCGTGGAGGAGATGTTATCGCTTTTTCCCCCCCCCCTCAAATATCCTCACGCAAAGCCCAACGTCTAAGGATGACAATCAAAGTCACACCGAAACACGTGATTCCTTTGAACGAACAGCGACTCCTGTTTTTTTTTGATATCTTGAAAAAAAAATTGATGTTCTTGTGCAACTATGTAGCAATTACTTGGAGGAATATGTACAACGTTTGTGTGAAAATGACGTCCTAGAGGATTTGTAACGTAGAGAACAATGGGTAGAAATGTATGTAAATAGCTCTTTAGAATTGTGTGAAATGAAAAAAACAAAACAAAAACAAAACTTTAAGATCCAAAACTGCGCTTCCCCTATTAAGTCCGACTTTCTTTAGAGCAGTGGTTCCCGAAACCAAATTGTTGTTTCAAGACACGTTTATTTCACACATATTAAACGGAGCTGTTTTTAACGCACTTTAAACGTAGTGGTTTTATGCTAGCATTGCTAACTTTGGTCAGTCGGCAGGAGTGAGATTTTGTGGGGGGGGGGGGGGGAGCGCATAACGTGTCATTGTTTCATTCATTCATGCCCCCCAACCCCCGGACCGTCCACAATGGCACTGGGCTCCACCTAGGGGGCACGCCCCCCCGCTTTGGGAACCTCTGCTTTAGAGGCAGTTTCACCCTTCCCGTGACATGTCTATTTAATGCATGAACAATGTCATGAATCACACTGTAGCCACGGACCTGATGGATTTTCTTAAGTGCCTGAATATTTTTTGTCAGATTTATTTTTATTTTATTCTTTGATCTTTGATGTTGGAACATGTTTCAAGCTTGTACCTGCGAGTTTAAATATTTTTAAAAGTTGAGGGGTCCTTTTTTTTATTTTGAATACTTTTATTTATGGTTGGTCTATGTGGAATTTTATTTTGAAAGACAATCACCCTTTTTTTTTTATTCACCAGTAAGTTGTCCCACAAAATTTGACAAAAATAAAAGTAGCCCTAATTTTGAACCCTAGAACAATCTGGAGATCTTAAAAAACGTGATGAGATAACGGAAGACTCCAAAATTGCATCATTAAGAATGTGTCCTAAGCAAAGGACATCATGTAAAAATAATATTTATATTTTCATAAATGAATGTTTTCCATTCATTGTGTTTTAACATGCGCATTAGCTTCCATCTCTCACACACACGCACACACACACCCCCTGCTGGTGGTGTGTAAAAAAAAGGTTGGGGATCACTGATTTAAAGGCTGTGAAAATTTAGTGGTAGACAGCGTTAGTTAAAAAGTGAATGATGTAATAAGCACAGGTGAAATAAAAATGTCGGCCGTGACTAAAATGGATTTATGGTTTTGGCATTATATGAAAATAATTCGGGAAAAACTGTATTCGTTTTAGGTACTGCGTGTTTAAGAAGAGGTCGTGGCTGCGGTAGCATTGATTACATCTTGAGTTTTAAATGTGTGAACAATCGCAGATCAAAGGCTTGAGAGCCTTTCGCGATGTATTTTTAGCAATTCATTTATATCAAATTCACATCAATCGTCAACATTTTTTTTTTAAGACCTCCCTCCCACTCCCCGAATTGAAATACTGTTGAGAACTTAATAATAAGTATTTTCTTATCTGTACAAACCACTGTTGTGAGTTGCTGCCACCTAGTGCATTACGGCAGCAACACACTTTTGTCCAATGTGCCATATTCCATTGGAGGCCTCTCACGCCTGACCCTCCTGGCACCTCACCGCGCCCCCCCCCAGAGGGGGGCCCGCCCCACTATTTGAAAAGTACTGCATTACTGCAACCTGCACATCTTCCAGAGGCTGTAAAAAAAAAAACAAATAAGGAAATACAAGAAATGACCGAAGAAGGTCGAAACCTTCCAATGTTCACAGGACCAAAAATGACTGTGGGTATTATTTTCAAATAATTCCACGGGTTATTAGCATTTTGCTATTTTTATGCACACTGCACAGTACAACTTGAAAGATGCAGGAAAAAAAAACTTTCGATTCGTGTTTACTAGATCAAAACACAATTAAACCTATAAATAACAATGATGTCATGTTTCCACCCCTTTGTTTTCCTACAAACAAGTACAGAAGAACATTAGAAAATATTCGTAGGTAATGAAATAGAATTCGACGAAACATCTTTCCACTTTCCAAATTCATCAAGCGGGCCGGATAGAACCCCCCCAGCGTGCCGGTTTTGGCCCACGGGCCGTATGTTTGGTACCCATGATCTAGTCCTATTAAAGAGATCTTCTTACATTTTGCTGTTCTCTTTTCTTCGGTGCAGGTGTTCACCTCAAACTTGCTTACGTTTAAAAAAAAAACAAAAAAACATTAGGACTGTGTTTTGAACAACAGCAACAACCGCATTAGCATTCCCTTTAAACTGTATACACGGCCAATGCAGGAAAGTGCCATTGAGGGATTTCCCCTCAACGGAGCCCCTCCGCTAGTTACTGAAATTAGCAAGCTAACTAGGATCGCAATTAGCACAGCTGTTAAACCAGAAAAGAAACGAGAAAGGAAGAGGAAGAAAAGCAAAATGTAATTGAGGAGTTGTGTTTTTTTTTTTTTCATACTTGGGTTGTGTGCTGTAGGCGCCTATTGTTAAAATGACAACAAAGACTATTCTATTCTATTGTATTCTATTGGCCCCGGGGCCGAACAATTTCATACAGATTGACTTTTCTAAGAGATTGGAATTGAATTAAAAACCACGTCAAACGTTAGTCTTTTGTATCCATCAGTCAGTTGGAATGAAATAAAAACGAATCAATACTGAAATTCAAGTTCAATCGTTGAATTATTGAATCAGATCGTGGTCCTGTATGGACACCCATGTGCGGTTGCACAGATCTACGGTATATAATGTATGTCACACAATTAGTCTTTTCCCTTTGTTTTCATGCAATAAAGTACATTCCATAAATCCTCATATTTAAAGAAATATCATTTTACGAAACATTTTCTGAACACGAAGTGTTTGTGGATTTTCAGAATTGCAACCATCGGGGCCGTACCGCAACGCCCAGGCGTGCTAGTTTTGGCCTTGACCTGTAGGAGGATTTTACAAGGATTTTGGCTGCTGTTCTCACGTGACTTTGCAACAGTCGGAGGAGCCCAAGCACAGCCCGTCCCGTCAACACTGTTGATCTGTTTTTAGCTACCGTTCACACCTCGTGACTGACGATGCTTGACGTGTTTCTTTCACTCCTTCATTGATCTGATGCTCGACGTGTTTCTTTCACTCCTTCATTGATTTCCTGGGTCTACCAAAAAAGTTCTTTTTTGAACATTATTTTCTCTACATCATAGTTGTCTAACTCAAGGCCAGTGGGCCTTTTTTGTGACCCGCACAAAAAAAAAAAACGTGTTTAATTGCCTTATAATAAAGTCTATGTCTCTGAGACGTTAACTTGATAAATTATTTTTTTTTATTACAAAGAGGACTTTACAATATTTGCAACTACACAGTCTTGCAGTTCTACATCACATTACCAGGGATTAGTAGCTTATTTCCTCGTGGCGTTGTTTGTCTTTTCCGGTATGATACAATTTTACACATAGCAGGTTGGCTAAATTACACCAACCTGTAATTCTTAAATTATTAAAGTGTGGTAACACATGTAAGTACTGGTCATTGTGAGTATAGGCATTGTTAAGTTAAGTTAAGTTAAGTCGCTACTTTTTTCACGCGCTTTGAACCCTGCGGCTTAAACAATGATACGGCTAATTTATGGATTTCTACGGGCTAGCGTAGAAGTTCATACTACTAGGAAATGACTTTTCTGGTAGGCTACTGTGTGCTATACTAGTAGCGTGTACATCTGTCTGTGAATGGCTGTGCGCATGGGACGCGCGAGAGAGAGAACGGTAGCGAAAGTTGAGAGCAGTTTGAGCCCTGTCTTGTTGAAGAGTGATTTAGTTACACTGTTTCTGTTTACCTCTGCTGTGGACAAGCACAATGTCAAGGGAGTTAGCCCCCGGAGCTAATGTTAGCTTTAGCCCTGGAGCAGTTTACTAAGTCCCTCCTGTGCATTTCAACTACAGTCGGGGCGCTGAAGCAGGATAGAGCTAACGTGTAACCAATCGTGTTACAGGCACTGTTCGGAAAAAAAAAGCATTTATTTAAGAGTGAAAAGAAAATAATTCGGTAAATGGGGACACCTACAGCTTATAGAGAAGCACTGCCTATATAGTCCAGAAATTACGGTAATAAATTCAATATTTTCTGTAAAAAAAAAAAAAAGGAGAGAAATAACAAATAAAAAAATAAAAATAAAAATAAAAATAAAAATAAAAATAAAAATAAAAATAAAATAAATAAACCTCTCACCCACTTAATTTTAATAGCTTATGCATGTTTGGGGAACCTGAAAAATAAGGTTTTTCTTAAAAGTTCATTTGGTTTAAAAGAAAATCGTATGAAGAAAATTCACATTCAATAAACCATTCTGTGAATCACGAATAATTTGATGAAATATGCAATATGTGCTAACCTCAGTGTTGCAGGAAGCCCTTTTTTTTTACAATTACAAAAAAACAAAATGGAGTTCTGATACTTTTAGTCTTTTTCCTATGATGTGTTTAACCTCTTCACACAACTCCATCAGGCCAAAATGCGTGGATAAGAATAGCTCGAGCCTCGTTATCGCAGTTATCCTGGATGTTGTTATTCCACTTTTGTACAATAACCCCCCCCCCCTGATCTCCACTTAACTCCGCTTTTTCCATAACGAGCAGTTGCTGCTGGAGATGAATGGTAACTCTCCCGGTAAACAACAGTCAACTTTACCTTTTAACTTTTCATACAATGAATGTAACACAAAATGCTGTACAGATAAAAGGTCAAAAGACCCCGAACACCCACGCATGGATACAAGCTCGATAAATTGCTCGCGCACTCACTCACTCACTCGCTCACTCGCTCAGACAGACATGCCAACATGCACACTGCGGCAAACACACGTTAATTTGAAGCTAATGAGGCCGGGCACTTATGAACCAAGTGAGGAAAGCGCTATGGGGGGGGAAATGTCTGTGAAGATTCTCATTCATCCAGGTCGTGTTATCCGTAGAGTTTAATTGCAAGCGACTGGGACCTCTTTGAGCTTCATCAGTTTCTGGTTGAGGGTAAGAGGGAACGCGAGCAGTAGTTACGCTTCTCTCGACCGCTCCGTTCTCCAACTTGACAAAGGAGTCGCGAGTCAAGGCTGTGAAGAGTCGTAAGGGTCACACCTCCCCAGAGACAGGTGACTGCTTCGGATGGTTAAACATGTCACATCACATGTCAAGGTGTGAAGACCGCGGTGGTGGTATTGATGCAGGATGGTATGTAGCCCTTACCTCTATTCAATGTTGGTTGTTCCAGATGGGCCTGGATGGCTTCCTTCGCTCCCCTATCAAACCATTCGTCCTCGTTATCCAAAATACGCGCCTCTGTGTGCTTGAAAGAGCGCCCCCCTTTCTTTAGGATGTGGATATACTGCTGAGTCCTGTCCTGATCTGGTCACCCTCCTGTTGTTGGGCCATGCGTTTGCCGAGTGGTTTGTTTTGCCTCCCCAATATACAGATCTGAGCACACTTCGCGGCACTGCACCGATCATTTTTTTGAGGTTTTGAGGGTGGATGGAATCAGTGAATAAATGAATTTTTTGTTGTCGCCCATTCGATTTGTTCAGAGCAGCAATAGCGGCCCCCTGCAGTGCGCCCCCCTCTGGTCCCCAAGCCCCACATAAAATCCGACTCCTGCCAACCGACCAAAGTTAGCAATGCCGGCGTAAAATGGACAGGCGTAAGGTAACATTTAAAATGTATGAAATAATTGAGACTATCCTGGGTTTTTTGGGGCGAAAAAAAAACAAAACATTTGGGAACCGTTGTGCCTGCCTATAGCTGCTGGGGTTTGTGGATACTACTGTTGACTGCTGAAGAATGCCATTGTAGAAGGTGAGTACAGGGGCAGTGGCTAGTGGTTTTTTTTAAACCTGTGGAATGCTGTTTGCTGTGCAGGTCCCCATAACCTCTCTGTCTCAAACAAAGGCTGGCACACTGTGGACGGCTGCGGTACATTCTCGGTCAAATAATTGACCATCACGAGGAAACTCTTTAGTTCAGTCACTTTTTGTGACTGGGGAAAGTACCTTTTTTTCTGTCACTCTGTAGAAACTGGGTTTGACACCCGTGTCGTTGATAAGGGGGCGCCGGAAACAGACGTGTTTAAAGGCCTTCTGACATGATGACTCGTAATGCGTCTCAAGCACTGGTCATGGATGTTCTCAGTTTCTCCATATATAAGTACCGTATTTTCCAGACTATAAGTAATTCCGCAGTATAACTCGCACCTGCCGAAAAATGCATAAAGAAGAAGAAAAAAAAAACCATATAAGACATGTGTATTTTCTTTCATCCTTTGACTCGGTTTGCGACTTGTACTCAGGTGCGACTTATATATATATATATTAAAATGTATAATTTTTCTGTTCGTTATTTTCACACTGACAGCCACTAGAGGGCACTCTAGGCTTCTGTACCAGTATCTGCTACTCCTGTGTGACTGAAAATTTACATTTTTGTTGTTTTCACACTAACAGCCGCCAGAGGGCACTGTAGGCTTCTGTACCAGTACCTGCTTTGGCTCTGGAGACTTATACTCCAGAGTCCAGAAAATACGACGCATCTGGTTCACACAACCTTTCTTTTCTATGTACATATGTTTATCAAGTGTCAGATCTTTCTGGACAGACATCTTGGGACCAAACTTGACACTTTTAAATTAATTTTAATGAAATAAATATATGTATATTTTGGTCTAAAGTTATCAGATTGAATGGTTCAGCGGGCCAGATTCAGCCCGCGAGCCACCAGTTGATTATTATTGGAATAGACTGTAAAGTCAGGCTGAAACCACACAGAGAGTTACTCTCTATGAAACGACACTATATTTTGATTGAACTTTATATTTGTTTCTCCTTTATTAGGTCTTATATGGTAAATTTGTAAATAAACAGCCTTATAGGAAATGTTTGGCCAAAGGAGGCTACGAGAGAATTAGGTCTAGATCTTTGCATTTTCGCAACTAACGTTTCCACGTAAGTGTTAATGTAAAATGAATACTTGAATACGAAATTCTCTCCTCTTTCAAATCACAGTCGTTCAGGAGACATCATTGAACCACTGCTAAAGAAGCAGTGGTTCGTCCGGTGTGATGAAATGGCTAAAAACGCTATTAAGGTATTTAAATGGCTATTTACGATCGGATATCCTTCAACAATATTATTACTCTAACTAACATTTTACCGAGTCATTGATTAGTTGACTAATCTGTGTCCCCCGATGAAATCATCTTTATGATTTTTTTTTTTTCATCCATTGTGAGGTGGTGGAGGATGGAGAGCTGAAAATCGTCCCGCACTTCTACGCTAAGTCATGGAGGACATGGTTGTCCAACATCAGGTATGCCTCAAACACAATCATTTCTACAGTGCTTTGAGGAGGGCATGTGTGTTTGTGCGCGTCCGAAGGATGTCACCATTCTGATGACAAAAGAGCTTTTGTTTCGTGCACGTGTCGTCAACAATGTCCCACTGTTTCCTTGGCAGTGACTGGTGTATTTCCAGGCAACTGTGGTGGGGTCACCAGATCCCTGCCTATCAAGTGGAGCTTCCAGATTCTAGAACCAACACAGAAGAGGTCAGCTCTGTGCATACACTAATGTTTAAAATGTGTGCGAGTGGGGTAAAAAAAAAAAATTCTGACTGAGGTCAGGTACGATTTAAATGCAGGGTTCTAAAAAGTGCTCGTGTGACACATTTTATCTACAGTTCATAGTTCAATACAAGTGTATCATAATTTTATATTTTCTCTGTGTGTGTGTAGGAGCGATGGGTTTGGGGACGCACCGAGGACGAGGCGAGACAAAGGGCCGCTGTTAAATATGGAGTGCATCCCACGTCCGTAAATTTGACCCGAGGTGATTCACTTTTCAAAACGACATTAAATGAAGCCTTTCAAACGATTACAGTTTGTAACCTTATTGATCGCAGGATCTTTAGCAAGGCCGGCAGCGATGACAGTTCATGTACTGTTATCTGAAGAGCCGAGCACATTTCTACTTCCATTGATTCACATGAAGTATTTGTATGTATTATGTATGTACTTTATGTATATATATATATACATTATATATACATATTTCTATATATATATAATGTATATATGTATATATGTATTTTACATATGCATATGTATATATAAATGTTAATATATATGTATATGTAAATCTTTACATATGTATATATTTGCGTTTATGTTTATATAATATATATGTATATCCAAATATACATACTGTATATACACACACATATGTAATCATAAGCATATATACAGTACATATACACACATATATGAACATATACACACGTAATTTAAAAAATAAATATACAATATATATAGCATATTCACATATACACATATACATATATAAACATATACTTTATACACGCACACACATATTAACATATATGCAACATATATGTTTATGTATGTATTTGTCATTGTGCTCAGATCTTCAGCCAATTTTTTCA